GCGTGTGTGCGGCAGCTCGGGGGCAGGTCCCTCCCGCTCTTTTATCTTCTGTGGTCCTGCACGTTCCTACTGCCTAGTCCCTCCTCGGTGTTCCTCACGCTCTCCTCCCCTTTATCGTGCTTAGGCCGCTTGTTTCCGTTTCCCTAAAGTTATTATTTGAGTGGTTAGGTAACATTTCGCCGGTTTCGCTGGCTAGCAGCCCCAGGTCCTCTCACCCTCTTTGCCTAGAAGCAACCCGTAGTGCTGGTGCTTTCACTTGGATGTTGCTCAAGAAAAGAGGCAGGCAGGGGACACCGTAAGGTTGGGTTTGGTACGCCGAGTTTGCTGTCAGCTGTGTTATCAGAAATATCTTCCCTCTTTGTCTGCAGGGAGGGATGCAAGCGCAAATAACTGGTTTTAAGTGTAAGGTTACAGTGAGCTGGGGCGGGGAGGCTCAGGCTTACTGTCTTCAGGGCCTAAGGAACAGACGCTGAGCTAAGTGTGGCTCTGTTATAAAGATGACTCAAATGATGACCTGTGGGAATATTTCCTTGCAGGCTAGGCTCTGCAGATTTAGGACTAAAGTCTGCGTGGCACCATCCTTTGGGAGATGGCTACAAAATGAGCTCTGGACAAGGTCATGGAGAAGGGAAGATGCTTGCCCACCCTGGTGTTTTGGTACACAGGAGCGTATGCAGTCACAAACCTGGCGAGTTAATGCTGTTAATGGTTATCTTGGGAGACAGCGAGAGCCATCTCTGTGTCTGTACCATTCAGCCCCTGCTGCTGCGGTCCAACAGAAGGCTGTGGATGGGAAAAGAGAGGAGTTCAGACTGGTCTACAGGTTTCCGGGGATTAAGTACTGCAGGGTGCTGTCCAGACTGAAGCTGTTACAGACTGCCACCACCATGGTCATACTGCCTCCCATCTGCTACCTCTATCTGCAAGACCAGGTTTCTCAGAATATCCTCTTGTATACAACTGGCGTTGCGCTCTTTGCTGGTGCGATGTTGTATGGTATGAGCTACTTTTTCAGACGAATTATTGGATTAATCTACTTAAATGAAACTGGCTGTACTGTCAAAGTGGCCCACTTGACGTTTTGGGGAAGACGGAATGATATTTATTGTCCCATAGAGACAGTGATGACTCTGGATGAAGCTGGAGATAGCAAGGGGGAGCTACTTCTCCAGTTCAAACGGTATAACAGTACAGATGTTTTATATTTTACAGTTAAGTTTGGACAGATTATAGACAGACAGAAGTTTACCCAAATATTTGGAGAACTTAAGTGATACAGCAACTAATTTCCAGTGATTTTCCTTGTTGCATGTTCATTGTGCTTATTCTTCTGTGAAGTTTAATTACTTTACCAAACTGACATACTTCTGTCACTTTCCCATGCAGAGCCTGCTGGTAAGTGCACTCAGTGTAGAAAGTAGAAACGGTGAAGAAAAACCCCTGGATTAAATGTCTTTGCAAGTTTGTGCAAGGTGCAAGTAGTATCTCTTCTATGTTGGATGCAGTGATGTGTGTGGTGCACTGTCACCAGCAGCCCTAAGTCTAAACCATCCTGCTTGGAACACGCAGCAGGAGGCCGAGTTACCAGTGCTGCCCCAATTGTTTCGGCTGGCCTCAGATTGCTTTGGAACCGGAAAAACAGGAGGGGAAAAAAAAAAGTGAAATGCAGTAACTCTGCGAGAGCATCCTCACTTTAAACTCATTGTTTCTTTTAGCAAATTTTAGGTTGACTGGGAAGCCTCTTGAAGTTAAAACCTGTCTCAGGTATAAGTAATGCTGGCTGTCAGAGATACCTCCACTTCATCAATACATGAGTGTGTAACTGGGAAGGGCAGTACGGAATGGTGTGTAAGGTGTGCGGGTCTCTTGGCCAGGTTTTCCAGGCTGTGAGCATACCCATGCAAAACAAGATATGTGGACAGTTCAGCTGTCAGGGTAGGTTACAGACTGGGACAGAATGTCAGGAGCCTCTTGTAGAAACTGCTTTTCCCTTGGCATAAAGGAAAAACATACCTCAGCTGTGATGCTGCGAGTTGCAGGGACAGTCTGTGATCCTTTGTTCAGTTTGGATCCTAATCATCTTTTTAATTTGGAACTACTTGTCCTTCTCTGCATTTATTTGTGTTTGTTCTGTATGTATGTAATCAATGCTGTAACACTTGAGTTGCAAAATCTTCAGTAAATGTTACCAAAAATTATCTTAGACTATGTGAATTAGGTGGTCTGCTGTGAAGATTACTGTATAGCTTGGGACACAAGTCATCTATATCCCTTGACGTGTTTACTGATTTGGTCATATTTTTACATCTGTAACTTTCCACTCCCTACTCCCCCAAAAAGAAAAGAAAAAAGGTAAGACACCTAAAAGCTATGTTGATTGAAGGCTAAAAACATGTCTGCTTGTATTCTGTTGAACTTGCAGGGTCAATCACTTCAGCACCTGTGTCCATGAAGGACAGTGTTCTTATTCTCTGGTGGTAGTGTGGTTCCTCCTTTTCCAAACCCAAAACCTCAGTAGCAAGGAAGAGCAGGATTTAAACCTGAGAAAGAATCAAACCTGATCACTTGTAACATGTACAACTTTATTTGAATTGTCAGAACGTTAACTCCTTACAGCTCGTCTAGCTGTTACTTGATACAGTGGCATATAAACTGACCCTCCAACAGAGAAACTTGCCGTATTCTTTTCTGCTTCCTCACACGTATCGAAACCTCTGTCTCTGGGTGGATCAGGTGATGCGGGTAAGTAAAACTGCCATGTATGTGCACAGGCTAACCCTGATTTACTATTTATGTGTGTTGAACTTTTCCTAATTCTCCAGTATTATAAATTTTGGCTGGTACTGGGGGGTACAATAATATTGAAAGAGAAATGTTCCTCAGCTTAAACACCACAGCAGCAAAATACAGTGGCCTGTATGCACATAGCATGTTTTTGGGAGGCTTAACGTCCTGAGAATATATTTAATATGCACTAATGATTCGGTTTAGGCATGTGCAAGGTGTAAAATAAAAATCCCATGAGAGGCTCAATTATAAATATTTTATTTAAGAATACTGATTACACATGAGATGTCATTTTTCATGAATCTGTGTACATTTACTAGTTACACCATGAAGTGTAGTTAAGTATTTCAACATTTATTTGGCACTGTCCACAGTATGCTGTAAACAATATTAACTTTATATGCTCAGCTGCAGTGCTTTCTATGTATTCTCTAACATGATTTCATCAACATGTTGTACACAATTATACAGTTACTGAGTGTCAGTAAAAATTATAAAAACGGCTAGAGTATTCATAATAAAAGTGAAGATGTGGTAAGACTTCAAATTACTCGACCTTTGCTTCTGTAAAAGTACAAGACTCGCTAGAGACATTTACTAAAACTACTGCACTGATATGTTGAACAAAATGCTGTCAAATACAGTGCTCGGTTTGACTTTCCTCTTGCTGATAATACGCGTACGAGGACAGCGATGACAATGAGGTTTTTGTGGAACACCAAGTCACCAGTCCTTCCCCCCAGATTTCTCCAACCTCTGTTCAAAAACCTGCTCAGGCTCTGACCAGCTGGTACTAGAATTCTGGTTTCTGCAGAGAGGTTTACAGAAATCCCATTATTTTTAAGCGAGCAGAATTGAGTGTACTTGAGATTCCCAATACCAGCACTCAAAAAATAAAATGGGAAAACCATGATCAACACTTCTCAAAGCAGGTAAGAAACCTTTCCCATTTTGATAGCTGTATTAAACCTGTAAATCTTTTAATTGCTCTGTCTTTTATTACATACTTAAAAATTGTGGTCAGATCCTTATAGGGCAACTGGAAAGTCCACTGTGGTCCCTGTTTTGTGGTGCACAACAGAAAGTTAAACTTAGTAAGCAAAACTCAGGTGCTTGCTAGCCAAGAGAAAGAAAAAAAAAAAAAAAGGCACCAGACCTAGTTCAAGTCAGCCTGAAGCAATCAGCAAAGAGCATATAGTAAAGAGTAGTCCAAAACAATTATCTGAAGAGAAACAACTTAATGAACTGTTGACACTTTTTGATCCTGTGGCTTTCTAGATCTCTGAAGTATCAGTGACTTTGAATGAATAGAACAAAAATAGAATTACTTTGCATTATAAATGTGCAATTAGGACTAGGCCTTCACTGTAGTGGCTCTGATGTCAGGTAATGGCTCAGGTCAAGCAACTCTGCTGTAGTTTTACATAACACCTGAAGTATTCATGTAGAACTTGCAATAGAGAAATTAATGGCTATTGTGTGTTACAGTAAAATAATCTGAAATCATTCTAGATTGCTGACAGAGGTGGAAATAATGTGCTTCACATGATTCTCTAAGCTTTGTCAGATTGTGTACTCAGGGTCTAGTTTTCTCTTGACAAGTAGTCTGATTGTAAGACAAGACAAAAGTTTTAAAATCCAGGAGGAGGAAAAAAAAGTACTTCAGTTCCACTTACAGCGCCGCACATGTGGCTCCTGAAGCAGTATGTGGAGGCTGATGGTGTCCTGATCCAGCTGGTGTGGCAGGCGTCTGTATTCAGGGGAGTAAAGCTGGAAATTATTCTGTAAAATACTGTACTTGGCAGTGGTGGAAAGCAGAGCTTTCCATGAAACACCTATTTTATTCCAGCTACCATTAGAGAATGGTGCTTTCTGTATGGCAGGGATGTGGCTTTAAGTTTTGCACCATACCTATCGCTGCTTCTGGACCCAAGAGTAAATGTGCTGGGATTGGTGACCTGTGAACAGGGACTGTACCAGATCATATGTAGGCAATCAAAGAATCAGGACCAGGAACGTAGAGAGGACTCTGCCATTAACATGACCCAAGCCAGAAGACGGCTTCTACAAATGCACAGTGTGGGACAGCTGCGTGTACCTGCTGGTGACCAGTACTGGTGCTCTGCCTGTGTCGAGTTTGCATGGAGCAGCTGGCCTTGGGCAGGATTACAGACAGAACACAAACCTTAGTTTATGACTTTACACTTATCTTGTAAGTAGAGAAGACATGAATTAATGCAAACTAATTTCATAATCAGCTGTTCAGTGAACTGCTTTTTACTTGAAGTTTGCTAAGATGTCACTGAAAATGTTCAGAAAGAGGTGCGCATGATGATCCTTGAAGATCAGTGTTGGACGAAAACGAATCGATCTGTCACCACAGCCTCCGAGCACAACACCTAAAACAAGAAGAGTAGCTCCTCTAGTCATTTCCATCTTTGCGAAATATCCAGAAAAAGCAGGTCTCCAAATGAGGCTCCCCTCACTGTGGAGGGCCAACAGAAGCTCCCCAAATCCCTGCTAACCACACAGGTGCACCATGTAGTCAGTGGTGCCAGGGGCCTCAAGCTTCGCAGCGACTCAGAACACCACTGTGGGTGCCTGTAGCTGTTTTGTAAAACACTTGGAATGTTGGGACTAATCCCAACATCAGCGGAAAGACTCCATCCAGCACAGAGCTCCAGCAGCATCTGAGACTTCAAAGCTGCAGTGCTCCATGGGTTAAGTACTGCAATGCCAGAACAAGACACGGTAGGTTTCTTTGCAATTTTGTTTTTAAACTATTTTGATTTTAATTACAGACAGTTAAAATAGCTCAGTGCTGGCAAGCTTCTTCCTGCAGTACTTTAAATGCATAGTATTTTTTTTTTACCCCCAAATCAATCAATTCTTTGAAATGTCTGTGGGCAACGAAAATCTGTACCATGAGCTAAGCTTACCTTGCCTCCAAGTATAACTTTGATTTATCATGAACCAAACCACTCGCCTTCTCTCCCTGCTGGCTTAGTTTCCAAGAACAAAAAATATCAATGTCTTTTACACTCTAAAATTTTGGTTTCAAAATACTTTACATACATCAGGCCTGCTTCTTTCAAGAGATATGAGTAACAGCCCAAACTGACAGCAGCAAACCCAGAGCCCGCACACACTTAAATTCAAAGAGAACGTTAGGCTTTAGATCACGAGGTTCTCCTGATGCCTGGGCTTGTCTACAGCTGGATACAGGTCTGTAGTAAAAGAAGGATGTATTTGTAGATCTGGGCCCATTTTAAGCAACTCATTGTATTTCATTATTCATAGGTTTTTTTCCTCCCTGTGTTTTCCTGAATGACAGTTACATTCACTTTCTTTTAATTTCTCTGACTTGTTTCTAGAAGTAAGCTGTGGCTTACATCTAGAAACCTAAGGTCACAGCGGAGGAACATTAAAGTGATGTCACAAAAACCTATGCCCTACATAGGTCTCTTCCAGTAACGTCAGACCTATGGAGAAAGGTAAATGTACACACCACGCAACGGACTGGCCTGATGTCTCTGAAAATACAAGTATTTCCAGAAAAGTCTAAATACAGCTTTGTTCGTAAATTGACTTCTGTCCTCTGATAGTGTAGTACACATGCACCATACAAAAAAGGAAAATTTAAAGCATTACGTGTGTTACTGTTTGTCATTTGAAGCTAATCCACACAAAAACGTTCTTACCTTTGTTTCTGGCTATTGTAATTAACTTGTTTCTAGTTGCATCATTTGGAGTGTCAAACGAGCAGAATGTTCCTCTTCCTCTCACTCTGCTGATAAGATGGGGGTAACGAGCCTGCAAAGAGAGGTGAGGAAGTTCACCTGGCACCTGGCTCTGCGCTGCCAGGAAACCTTGTTGCCGCCTCGTGCGAGCGGAGCTATTGCACAGGCTGGGCCTGTCACCTAAACCTCGCGTCCTGTTTACCCCTTTCCAACACGGGTCTGAGCAGCCCCGCAGCAGCAGGTTCTCTCCTTGCAAGGCAGATAAATAAACATCTGAGCAGGGAGTGAGAGTGAATTTACACCCCTGAGCGGGGCCAAGTAAAACCTTACTTGGAGCCTGCTGAAGTGAGCGCTGTAACACTCTGCAGCATCTAAAATGCTCTCCAGGAAAACCTGAGCATAAATAACTTAGAATGGGGCTAGAAACCAGCCGTCCTTACGCTGCAAGCCTGCCCTGAAATGCCTGGCTGGTTTTCCCTCTCACATAAGGCTCCACAGTTGAAGCTGTGATGGAATTTCCCTTAGTCAAGGGAGGGAAAGCCACCATTTTCTCGTTTCAACAGCCCAGTGGAATTGTAACAAAATATAAAGGCACTTTCCTTTCAAAAGAACTTTTGGGACAATGAAATGCTAGCTGCTTGTGATAATAAAGACTTCAAGAAAAATAAGTTAACTAGCCACAGTTCATGCCTTCAGGTATTTTGAGGGTCACCCTTTATTTTGGATTAAGCTATGTAAAACCAGCATCCTTAAGTCAGTAAAAGTTTAATTCAAAATGGGACACAGTTATTCAGGCTTGTATTGAAGTAACCCAACCAACAAGCTATGGTTATGGTCTAGTTCCCAGCTGGAGTCCTCAGTCCAAGTGTTTAAACTGGATTAGGTGAGATCCTAACTGATCAGCAAACTTCTCTCTAATCCTTCCCAATGTTTACCTGTAAATCCAGCAGCCCGGTCAGCAGTGCTTTCCCAGCGTGGGTTGCATTGTTTAGAAGGTCTTCTCTCTTAATAACCTTAATGACTTCAGCAAGCATAAGGTTCTTGGATGGATCTCCAAGCCAGGTATTAAAAATCCGATAGGGCTGGGAAAGGGTCGAGAGTGAGTTGTGGAACATGTTAACAGACAAATCACAATGATAAAGAAAAGCAAGCCATCAAACTGGTAATGCCAACATCTGGCATATGAAAAAGCACGCACTATTCTCACCGACCCCCTTTTCTTTGTTGTAAGAGCAAAAAGCAGCTGCCCCACTGAGTGGGAACAAAGGGCAACTACTTCAATGTACAGATTTAGTGCATTCTGTCTGACACCACATTGAAAGACGGCTATAGATGACACAGCAATCAGCATCATCTATACAGGTTTTACATTCAAGCTTTATGTTCTATTTTTTTTCCCCATTTATTACACCTAAAATGTCATTAATGTGAAGAAGTCTTGCTGACGGAATCCGTAATGCTGACATACAAGCTCTGAAGATACCACGTTGCCCTACGGAAAAAGGTGTCAGTCTGTGGTTGGGTTTTGTCCTGAAGGTTAGTTCATTAGTTCTCCTCTCCCTCCCACCACCTTTATGGCCTTTGTGACCAACAGCAACTAGAATAAAAGTGAAGTGACGACAACTTTTGTGTAAGCCCAGAGCAAGTATCTATGAAAGAGCAGCTCCAGCTAGCTGAACCTGTGTTACCGAAGGAAAGCTTGTCTCTTCCACAGACACTGCAATTATGAATGGGCCACCAACTAGCACAGAGTCCAAGTTTCATTGAAAATCTTACAGCGTTTGGCCTGAACTCGTCTTTGTGGAAAAATCCTCCTGTCATCATCTTCTTACTGAACGTTACCACATCAGCTGGGTCATCCAGGCCCCAGTGTTCATGTGCCCAGAATTTTCCTGTGCAGCCGCCTCCCGTCTGCACCTCATCCACCAAGAACGCACAGCCGTGCTGCGGAGATGGGATGCAAAGAGCAGGGAATGTGAGTCCGCATTTCCAAAACAAAACCACCTCCCTTAGGGAACGGATGAACACAAGCCAATTACATGCAACATCCCTCCTTCCTCTCCCTTCACTGCTCCAAATCTCCCCTCCTCAACCCCCACACCAATGCCACTCACTGTGCCTGGGATTTCACAATTAAAAACTTAGCTATTTTTTCAGAAAGGCACTAGAAACGTATTTTCTACCTAAATTCACACAGTACATATTTTTATGTACTTATTTTTATATAATTATGCATTTTTTAATATAGTCTTGAACATTTCTAGAGGATATCTGAAATGATCTGGGAGGAGCCTGGATGGCATTTTCAAAGCCTCTGAGGGGAGCAGGTACATAACCACCCCAACTGCTATGAAGGAGGGCTGTGAAGCTTCCCAAAGTGCCTGGGCAGGGGGAGGCCTTGGAGACACCAGAAGTAACTGCGTTACTTAGCAAACAGTGAAATATTTGATTACCTTTCGGGCAATATCTCGTAGCTTTCTGAAGAAGTCATCTGACGCGTGATTGTCCCCACCCTCTGACTGTATCGGTTCTATAATGATTCCAGCCACAATCTTCTTCTTTTTCCTGTACTTTACAATCAAGTCTTCCACCTGTAAATCAAACATTTATGGTACATCCTCCTTTAAAGACATTTGCCCATTTCCTCCCAAAAAGATTAAATCTCAGCAACCGAACTTCAACTTCTCATAGACATTCCTGGCTATAAAGGTGTCAGGAAGTTTAAGGAATTAACAAGTAGTTCCTTCAGGATTTAACACTGCTCTCTTGTTCCTGAATCATATCCTAAACACATTGTAACTAGTTGGACATTTATCTACAATGGTGTGAAAACTAGCAAATTTCAGGTGAAACTATGTGAAGACCACTGGAGCTTGCTATAGCATTGCTGTCATTCCTAAGTAGTACAGAAGAAAACAGATTTTGTGTCAGAAAACAAAACTCAGCTAATGTATTAAAGAAGGTAATGTGATAAATTTGCTTTTTCTAGTCATCCATTTCAGATACTTTAAAATTAATCAGATCAATTTGTGGATTGATTTTTTGCATCACAATTCCCCCACACCCCAAGCTACAGTGGAGCAAACACAAAGAAGCAATTTTCTATGCTTGCTGTTTTCTCTGAAGTGAGGCAGGTTTGAATAAGTTGTCTTTGCAGCTCTGCACAGCCGTGCGGAGTGCTGCTGTGCTCCTCTGCAGCGGGTTATGATGCCCCGATTGCACACCTTTTCGGTTCCCGGCGCAGGGCACACTTTGCCTTGCTCCCCACCACCCACTCTCAAGCGACAGGTCCTGGATCCCAGCAGGGAATCCCACGGTTCTGGTACCCAGAGACAGTTTGCCTCCCCTAGACTGTTCTGCCCACCCCTCCTCTCTCCTGCCACACTCCCTGCCCACTTGCTCCCTGCAGCTGTAGGCAAGATCAGAGCTTTACGCCACAAGGCTACCACAGAAAGGCTGAAAAACCCGAGATACTGCTACAGGTTCTCTTTGCAGAGGATTATACACACTGCGCTCCCCTTAGTCCACGTCCCTTTGCAGGACCTGGCAGACAAGTTCACTGTGATATAACAAACTTCTCTTGCATGTGAAATGTCACTTTGGTATGATTCATGTAGACCACCGCAATTTACAGTAAGCTGGTTGTTCTTCTGAAAGGCAGGGACAAACTTCTGACTGTAAACAACAGTGAATGCTGTTTTAATCACATGCTGTTCCAATCCCTGAAAACATTCTTTTCGTGAGAAGCAGCTAATCCTAACAACACTGCTCATTATTTCAAAATAAAAACAAGAGAAAGCTGCCAGGGAATTTTTTACCTCCTCTAAACAGCGGGCTTCTTCCTGTTGATTCTCTTTCACAAAGTCTTCCAGAGGATACTTTAGCCTTGGAAATGGAGCAATAGGCCAGTCCAGTGATGGAATGTCCAGTTTGTGAATTGCTTTAGAGTGAGTTGTAGCTAAGCAACCTAAACCCAGAAAAGCAAAAATTAAAATAAAATAATACCTTACTAGGAACAATACAGGAAAAAAGCTACCAAGAGGTGAAAAATTGCCTGACACCAGGACTGTAGAATTAACTTCATTGCTCTGCTTTTTTACTTTATTTTCTGAAATACTGGCTAATTGGATTTAGCCAAGCTGAAGTGGATTTCTCTAGCTTTTAAGCATCAGTTTCCACACACACTGTTCCAGAAGAACAGGAGAACCTCTGTCATCTGAACAGGCTGCTCAGACGAAATGAGTTTCACCTGTCCAAAGACAACTGGTCGCAAAGCTCAGAATTACAGCACTCTGGGTAACATGTAGAACAGGGATTGAGCCAATAGAAAATGGTAAAAATGAATCACGTCTCGTTTGTATATTGTGGTAATTTTACCCCAGGAGTTAGATTTTTACTATCATAGGCAGGAAACCTTGGATTCAGAATGAAAAAAAGGGACCTTCCAAAAATAAATTCTCAAAAAATATGAAATTAGTTCCCCCTGTCACTCAAATATTCTGTTTTAGTACTGGTGGGGCTTCCAAGGCAAACCTTCAATAAACCTACAGCTTCTCCACTGGTACTATTTGAGGAAAAAAATACTTTTCAGAAGCTACAGCGAGATGACAGCTTACTGCAGCGGCTGAGAGGAGGCAAAGAGATGGGAGGTGTTGCTGGCAGTGCTCTGCTTACCCAGGGTCCTTCCGTGGAAGCCGCCCATGAAGGAGAGCATGGCGTAGTCGGGGCAGCCGGGGGGCTGCAAGCAGAGCAGAAAGTGGGCAGTCAGCGTGTGGTGCTGCTGGCAGGTGGCCCTACAGCCCCATGCAACCTAGACACAAACCCACAGCCAGAGCACAGCGGGATGGCTGGATCCAAGCTGCTGCCTCTCACAGCATCCTCATCGGTTTCCTCTCCAACCATCAGGCACCGCAAATCGTCATGTTTACCCATTTAAACAAATACATTTGTCATCCGCTAAAAACTGCCTGACCTCCTAAAATACATCACTAATACTAATGAATACTTGGCAATTTATACTGTATCATAATATTGCTCCGCACAGAGGCTGAACATTCGGTCCAATCAGCCCATTTTGTACAAACTACGAGCACACGTGTACAGGGTGGCTGTGCCCAGGTGTGGCAGCGGGGGCTCTGCATGGAGATGCCAGGGCTGCCCCGAGACAGACGGCCCATGCATTCCTGATGACTTGCTGAGAAGGAACCATGACAAAAGACATGCGAACTCTGTACTATCTGGAATTTCATAAAAGGATTGGGCTAGCTCCCCTGCCCCCTCTGAAAAAAAAAAAATCCTCTTTCTTTATGCCTCTCTGTCATCCTCTAAGTGAGACGATTGTCACCACTTACACACTCTGTTTCCACCTTTAGTTTTGTACCCTGTACAGGGTCAAGGCTCCAATATTTCTAACTGGATTCTGGAGGATCCCCCCCCAAAAGGGGGAGGGAGTTGCCCTCTCAAATCCATCCCCTCCCCGAACTGTAAAGAGAACTCAGACAATTAGCTCAAAGAGGAATCCTAATGTTTAGATAGCTAAACTTGGACAAAAAGTGATCGCTATTTTTACAAGTCTTTGGTCATCTTATAAAATCCTTGTTCCTTCCAAGTCATGATGTGCCATCCTCTTGTTCGTACTGGCACAGCCATCTGTCTGACCATGCTGTAAGCAACATCACAGAACTTAAATTATAATTCTGAAGACAAACAAAACAAACCCTAGAAGAACCCTTCTTCATTTTTAAAGCCAAATGAGTTCCCTAATCCCGTAAGAATCACTACAGAAGTGCCAAAGATCAGGTAGGATCAGCACGTTGTTAATTTCTAACTTGTTTATCTCAAAGAAGGGATTAAATACTCTGTTTTCTGCTATTGTCGCATGTTAAGATTTGTGACTGGCAAAAAGCAAGACCACCATGGGTAAAGGTGAATAGGACTTCAGAGGTTTATCAGCTGCATGTTTCCTCATCCTGCCTGTTATTAACATTTAGTCAGTCAAATTTTAACCAATGCCTTGATCAGTTTTAAGCCATAAAATCACTGCTTCTGAAAAAAAATTAGAAGGTCTGTTGTTATTATTTGTAAACTTTTGCACGGATTAATGATCTCCGTGGATCCATCCATCACGTGGGCCCCTCTCTAGGAAACGATATGCCATGAAAAAAGGGAGATCTTCCCAAGATTCACAACTGGGAATGATGCAGAAGAATACAAGCAGCAGGTCTTGATAGTTGTTGGGAGCAGTTTGTATTTCACCATCTCCTAAATTTACAAAACCGGGATTCCACTTCAGAGATAGTAAAGCCAAGTTTTCCTCCCAATCTTCCCTTATAAACCCAAGCCAACGGTACGTGTGTAGATGTGCTGAAGAACAAATGTTACCTGGTTAATCATGCAAGATTCCAGTTCCTCTTTTGTGACATTATTATGGCCCCTCTCCTTGTTCTGGAAAAAAAACCAGAACAAAACCAAAAAACAAACAACCAAAATCTGATAGTTTTCCTCTAGTTGTAACCAATGCATTTATGACCACAAATTAGTAATGTCGATACTCCAAACCAGAGCCAGTGAAGACACTGATTGTGACTCTTACATGCTGACCGCAATCTGCATTTTCTTCATTTACTTTTCTTCATTATTTCCAAAGTTGTGTCAATATAAAGTGAAAATTTAGGTGTACTTTTTAATAAAGATTTTATACTAAATTGAATATAAATAACATAATGAACAAGACAACCTCCCGGCCTTACTTTTACAGTAACAGTTCTGATGATGAATAAATACTAATTTACTACATCTAAACCTACAAAAAACCCCGTAATATTTTACTCACTCTGTACCACATAAATATTGCTTTAAAGGCATTTTCATTAGAGCAGGATCCACAAGACATGGTGATCACCTGTGGCAGGCCCTTAGGAGCCACCTGTCAATGAAGAGAGAAAATTACTCCAAAATATTAAGCACAAATATAGTGCAAAGTGATGATAATATTGATTGGTCCTTAACATCAGGAGCTTCAGTACAGTGGGAGACCAACTGTGTCTATGATGAGCAAAGCCAATTTCAACTGCAGCTGCGAGGGCTCAACTCAGTTTCAGTCCCAAGGATCTTCAAATTTAAATCAAGACAAAGAGAAGCCACTTATTCTGCTCTCTCTTATGAAAGCACAGTGAACATGTGAAAATGTGTTTTCTCATCAGTTCTTGAATCCAGAATGAAAGAGACAGTATCTGTGCAGAGCAGAGACGTCCCCCTCTCACATTCAGCTGTCAGGTCAGGACAAAGGCTTGATCTCATTACTTGCAGCGGGACAGCAGGTGGACAAACAGCCAATGTGTAACGTTACCTATTAAACCCCATGACATCCCCTGATGTGCCCCTGTCCATAACCACAGAACATGGTAACTCATCACTGCTACCTCAAACTTACCGATAACAAAGATTCCTTCAGTCTTTCTGCAAAGTTCTCTGGAGGTAAAATCCCTAGGGCAGGTCTGTTGATAAAAGTGCTCTACAAAAACAAAGGAAGAGAAATTGTTAGGCTTTATTATCACATGAAAAATATCATGTTGATATCAAGGCAGTTACATTTTATTCTAATTACAAATACCAGCCAGAAATTTCTAGTCATGTCACAAGGAGTTTTAAAAGCAGGGAATAATATTCATGTCTTAAAGGAAGTTTTTCTGCCTAATCCTTAATACTTTATTCTTGCAGGACACCTTAGAAAAGGTGCATGCTAACTGATACTGATACTTCCTCTTCAATATTGCCATTTTAGTTGCTCTATTTCAATTTTCCTTATACACAGGAAATACACTTTAAAATCTTAATTACTTGCCTTCCGTTTGAGTAGCTAAATCTAAATTCAATTCGGATAGCAGCACTTTCTTCCTTACGGAGCTTCAAGAAAGACCATTTCAGAACGCTGTGGTTATAAACATCCTCCAGATACTCTTACAATGGGATTTGGGGGAACAAGACAAAGGTACACCTAAAGGATAGGGGCTACATCTGAGAAAGGTAACACACACGCAAGGACTGGCAACACAACACTACAATAAAATATATTCCTGACAAAAAACGTGTGCACAAGGACATGCTGTCTCCCTTCTAGACTCCTCTGGCACATACAGTAATGGGCAGTGCAGTGACATCGGCGAGAAGCTACCCTGCATGTTATTACCTCGCTACTCAGCGGCGAGAAGCTACCCTGCATGTTATTACCTCGTTACTCAGCAACATGTGTTTAATCAAGCTCATTGACCAGGATATATCCAGACATGTTAGTGAAATTCCTTTTCAACTATATACTGTTTTCATGAAGCTTGCTGATTTGCAGGTAAATATTTCCTTTTCTAGTGCCTTCAGTTTGCACAGTCACCCTTCTCAGTGCCCCAGCCTTAATTACAGGGACCTTTTTGATTGTGCATTACAACAGCAGGTTTCTAGCTTCCCATTTTTCTCCTTTCCATTTCCTGATCGAGGTCTGACACAGACCAGGAGCTGAAACGTGCTGAAACAGTCTCCACGGATGCAACGTGATCTCTCCTAACAGCAGATTTCCACAGTTCCGAGGAAATCACCTGGCTTAACTCCTGCCTGCTTCCCAGAATGCTTTTCTCGAACCATTCCTTTTCCCTTTCCCTGTCTGTCAGCAGGACGGAACCTGTGTTGCTGCAAGAGCCTTGGTCACCGCAGAAGTGACTACAGGGATGCAGCCTTCCCGTACCGACGTGGAGGTTACTGAGAAGATGGAGCCAGGCTCCAGGCTCTTCAGTGGGAAGATGAGAAGCAAGGGGCATAAATTGAAACACGAGAGGTACTGATTTGGGTACAAGGAAAAGCTTTTTCACCAAGAGAACAGTGAAGCAGTGGAACAGGTTGCCCAAAGAGGTTGAGCTGTCTCCCTCCTCAGAGGTTTTCCAAGACCCCAGATAAAGCCCTGAGCAACCTGGCCTGATGTCAGAGCCCGACCCTCTTTGAGCAGGAGGTTGGGCAAGAGACCACCTAAGGCCCCCTCCAACCAGAATTGTCCTACTGGTCCTATGAACTGGCCACATCAAGGTTCACATCTTCGAAAGAGGTAAATTTGGTGTCAGTGAACAGCAGCTGGTGGGAGAGCTGAGCCTGCTGCCCACACAGGTCTTTCTAAAGAGCAGCTCTGCAAAAAACCCCTCGGTCTTCTCAGTCCACTAATGGAGATGAATTTGTCATGTTTATGAAATTAATATAAACTGTTACAGATTAAAATGGATTCAACATTACTTTTAGTCTTTGTAGGTAATCTTATTTGATACACAGTGTGCTACTTTTTATTTTAAATTAAATTTGCTTAGAAAAGGACAAGCTCAATAAATTTGCCAACTGCAAAGCAGCATTATTTGCCCTTTTTTGTTTGCTGCTGTTGTTGTTGTAGCAAGTCATCACTGAAATTGAAGGCTGAGCTTTGATGATTTAAGTCTTTATGGGTCTCGAGAGAGGACAGACTGCCTCCCCCAAAACATTCCTATTTTCAGTGCAACCCAAGCTTGCACATTCATCAGCAACCTTCAATCTTTTTCCTCGATAGACGTACTCATTTATTCAGATGTGCAGACCACAGTAAGAGGTGTGAGTTGTCACACTGTACCTATAAGAACACACCATCAGAATTCTTAGGGAAAACCAAATATCACACAAGGTGTAACAGAGTACGAACTAGGACTTTGTAACTTGTACAAGTGTGTTATTTGCAAAAGAACATTTGTTTCAACAGACTCAAGCTTAAAAAATAAAAACTAAGCAAGGATGCTACTGACAGATTAACACAAAATTTTTGTTTAGTACATGTGAGACGTCTTACTTGACTTTTTATCTCAGTTTAGAAGTAAATTTTAATATAGAGTTAGAGGTACGAGACCATAAATTTATTGTGAATTTGATTATGGGCTGTCATAGTCAATTGACAACATATGCCATTAAGCTGAAAAGTGTATTTTTCTTTTGTGGTTAATGAGATGCTCAGTACTGAGAAAAACAGAACATTGACATCAAGCTGCTGCGGTCCCAAATGAACAGATGCATATTCTGTTCTTTATAGATGCCTGTACATGGCATCTATACGGTAGAGAGTACACGGAGCATTACAAACCAACCAAACAAAAATCCCTACAAGAAAACACCGATCCCGTTGTTAACATTAAACAAGGGCCCTACCTCAGTGTGTATTACTCAAAAAAAGTTCCTTTGCAATACAGCTGGCACTTTATCTCCAGTCAGACTCCAGCACACTCTCCTGTCTGCAGTGAGGTTTGCACAAGTTCTGGCTCTTCACAGCTCCCCGACCTTGGCAGTGCCGAACTTCACTGCGAAGCTGACACCCTGCCTACACTGCACCCAGGCTAAAGCCCGACGGAAATCCGAAGTGCGCAGTCAGGTGCAGATGGACAGGTTCAGTGCCACCTGCACTGCTGGACTAACGCAGGCTTCAGAACAGGGCACCAAAAACATCTTGGATGCTCGTATGGGGGAGATGAGTCCTGGCTGCACCACTCATTTTGGACTGCGGAGGCAGTTCCTTTTACTGCAGGCTTCTAGCTGGCTGCCTGTTAACTTCCCTTTTCCAGTGGAAAAACCAGCAACTGCCACCAGACAATAGGGTTTTTTTGATGTTTTCTGTTGGCTTTGGGTTTAGTGTTTTGTTTTTTTTTTTTAAAATCTGACTTTGCCTACTGCTGCATTTTAATAAAGGTATTGTTACCTCCTCAGAAATAATTTTTACAATTAAATATAAGCATTTAGAAATATTAGTGCTTCCATGATATCCAGATCTGCCTTTGATAACTCCAGTATTTCTAGCTCTGGTGTTTTTTTAAATACTTGTCGTATCTTAGTTCTGGGGAAGGCAGCATTTCTCATCCTGAAGAAATGAGAACTCCATAAAGCAAATCAGCTCAGGGAATTCAAATGTCTGCACTTCTTTAACATGCTGGCTCAGAATTTACACTCTGGAGTGAGCCAGGAGGCTCTTTAGGAATGGAAATGCAGGTATGAGAAGGAACTGGCCCACACTTGAGCTATGCCCTGGCAGGCAGCATGGACACCCACTACTGGTTTGCAGAAACAGGGGCTCGGTCACTAAAGCCACTACACCCCCAAAAAACCATCCCAAACCACCCACGGCATTCCAGATTTAGGGCAGCATTTTCATATTTAAAACACTTTATTCTCTCTCAAGAATTTGTGCTTGCTTTCAGGCTCAAAAATCTTCACTCAGGAACATTGCTAAAATGATTAACTGGAAACACTATGCTTGAACTATGATTTAAAACTGGCTGGAAACATATCAAGTGATTGCATCACCCAAATGTTTACTTCTTGTAAAGCTTCATAGAGGTTTTGGTGTCGTCTTAAACACTACCAAGCTCTTTTCATCTAGTGAGAAATAAAGCAAGCAGATCCTGCCATACTTTAAATTCAGTCATTAAGCATTTATTATCAGCTTAAGAAAAAATAAGAAAGACTGCCACAAGGAGGGAGAAGGGTCTTTCAAGTACTTAATGTTTTAATTCACTTACCAAGTTCTGTGGCTGCTGTAGAAGCTTTATCAGAGAGGGATGGCTGTAACCTAATTAAAAAGAACAAAGAAAGAAAACAGTTCTTTCTGATTTCAATAAATTAGCATAAAGAGTAACCTAGAGAATAATCTTATTCTGATCCTTAACTGTTTCTGTGTAACTTCTGTATGTTTTAACTATTTATAACAGAACTTCTTTCAAAGTAGGACAAACCTATCCTTTTATAAAATATTATTATCTGGAACTTTGGAACAAATTCAGTGTCAGGCAATAGCAAAACATATTTTAGTACTGAAAGGTAAAAGCTGAACACGCACAAAAAAAAGAGATTAATATGAATGGATCATTTACCTGATAGAGCCTGATTGAAACATCATAGCTTCTATCAAGTGTTGTGGGACTGACATTATTAAATGTTTGCTTGCTCTCCTTTCTAGGTTTCCCATGTGTATTTGGTTTCTCTACAGTACAACGTGCAAACCTCTCCTCTTCCTCAATTAAAAGCAGAAATCACTTTCTGCCAATGCAGCCCACAAGCTGTTGTTTGTTAGTCACCATTTAGCTGTGGTATAGAAGCAACTCCAGTTCCTCCTGCCTGAAGGAGGCTGCTTATAGTTCTCACTCACCCTAACGCTCATCTGCGGGACTTCTGTGGCTCTGAGCACTGACCACCCAACACGCATTTCAGAAATGGCTCCTGACAGGCCATACCACAGAGGGAAGCTCCCCATGGAGCTGTGTCCATTTACAGTAGCTGTTGCTACACTTCTAGCCTCATAGCAATTTTTACCCTCCTTGAATATCAGACTGATTATTCCTAGCACAGTAACAGAGATTCCTCCCCACACTGTGCTTTTTAACTGACTGGATTTTTCGTCATTGTAAAATCAACTTAGAAACATATATTCCCCCTTTATGCTTTTCTTCCATGTAGTTCCCCAGCCTTTGGTAGCTGACCATAAAAAACAGACAAGCAAAAATCCACATACTTACCAATTTCCCAAAGAAAGCTCATTTAGCAGTTGTAATTTCTAACATTATAATGTAGTAACAAAATATCAGCAAGGGCTTTTTGTCCCTCAGCAGCTACAGCCGGATGGTGCAGGGTAACCTTACTAGCACAGCAGTGCTGTTCTCAGGGATGGTTTTTCATTGCTGATGCATGCAATGAGCAAACAGTACGGCAGACCCAGCAGGGATAAGCCCTGGGACTCCAGCAGAATTTTGCCAATGGCTTGACAGCGCTCCTTGACATCTGTCGCAGTTGGATGGCATTCATCACTGCCATCCTCTACCATGCTATCTAAACACTCTCTGTGCAAGACACTGCCAAAATTGTTTTGAGATGGCCTCCACATTATCTAGGCTTTCGCTTATATATACACTCACACTTCTTTGCACGCATGAAGATGCATATTCCACCCCTGCGTACTGCCGGTGTTCGTGCATGATCATTAACAATCCTACCAGAATGAAGAGACTGCCTACACAGACAGTTACACTTGAAACTCAAGGACCAATAAGCACTCTAATCTCCAACCCATCACAATGCATTAGTTATTCCAAGACACCTGTCTGGAAATCTTTCCTTCTCAGTCGTAGATTTACACACCTCAGCTGTCCATCACCTTAAAACCCCCTGTTTGATAATCTGCTGTCTCGTATTAAAGAAGGAGATTGTGCACTTTTCACTTTCTCTCATGACCAGTTGGGGTTTTTTTTCCCTTCCCATTTGCCTTACTTTGACAAATTTCTAATTGGAAAAAGCTGTAACGATTTGTCCTTTTCACCCAGAAATCTCAAGATACTAAGGATGCTTCAGGTTTAACACACCAAAAGTGCTTAATTTATATCTATTGCCATTCTATGGGATAACTTGCTTGCTTACAGGTAAACCAACATATCTGATATTAAAAAAACACCAAACAACCCAACAAAACAAAAAAAACCCCTCCACCAAAGGAGCCCAGAAAATTTCATTTTAAGCCTGATTTCTAATGTATGAAGTGCCAAAGCCAGAAATTAACATCATCTTTTATATTCCCTTGTAGAAACAGTTGGAAACCTCATCTTCCCTACTGCTCAAGAAGTCAGACCACTCTAATTTTATTACAAAAGCTTATCATGCCACTGAACTCCTTATTCTAGTTGAATGACAACAGCCCTGATTATCCTGTCTGAGCAATGGAGCATTAGGCTACTGCATTAAATTAATTATAAATTCCGTTTTGAATATTTTAGTTCAAAACATGGAAATATCCAGATTGTTTTAACTGCATGTCATGCTGCAAAGAATCTGTTAAAATTATTATGAAGATAATACAAGTGGTTATTTGGGACACAGACAACTAAATCTGCATTGCACCTGCTGTCACGGGAAGAATTGTTATTAGGCTAGAGGGAATGACACAGTTAAAAGCTGTGTCACTGACAGCTGTAGCTGTGGTTACTGCTGAGAGCACCTTTGAGAGTGTATATATTGTTTTAGAAATCTGCAAACTAAATCTCACAGAAGTTTTTTTTATAAATAGCTACCACTGCTTAGGAAGCTTAACCATTAACTCTGGTATTGCTTGTAAAAACATGTAATTCTGTTGCTGGTGCTAAGATGCATGAAGAATGCGGAGATCTCTGCATCTTCTCTTACGTAACACAAATTCAAGGCTTCTATAACCCATAACTCATCCTCTCCCACCCACACAAGACGTCTCTCCCATTCTCTTCTCTTCAGGCCGAATGGCCCATCTTCTTCCCGACACTCCCTATTCCACTGGTGCATCCTTAAACAGGCCCCAGTGAAGTCAGAGAGAATCCTTAAAGCCCGACTCTTTCTGAAGGAGCAGGTCTGCGTGTAGAAAGATGCAGAACTGCTATGTGGGTACACAGTCATAAAACTAACACCAGGAAGAACTAAATGGTAGACAAAGTCAGAAAGCTCTAGGCTGAGATGGCAAACAGACAGCAACTTGTTTCATTGCCATGACCATTTCAAGGGTTTGTAGCTTTACGAATCTACTCTCAAATACATTCCTGTAGGAAGTGACAGAGCTGGCTCTTAAGAGAAGGGCACCTGCTTCATCACGCTTGCTGTGCCTCTAGATCAATGCGACAGGAAAGTACATGTCCTCCAGGCTCATGAATGGGCCTGTCTGCAAAAGGGAAAAAAACTGGAGGCTGCTAAAATAATGAGATGGAGAAAGTTGAAAGAATCCATTTGAACTGAGCAGCAGACTGCTGGCAGTAATACCAAACTACACCTCTCTGCACCTCCCCAAATAAAAACAGACCTTCCCAGCACTGAAAAACAGATTGTTCCATTTGCTACTCCAGGATGTTTGATAGTAAACGTGTTGATAGAATCCCCTCTTGCATTTGGCTCCATGGGGTTTCTAACTCCATTAGGCAGATTAGATACAAGTTTAAAGGAGTATGTTGCGCTGTAACTTCCCAAAAAACCTGTGGTAAAAAACTGTTTTAATTTTTGTTTTTCACCGAGAAGCAGCCCAGAATATCTTTACCTAGTGGTGTTTTATACTTCAATTCTTATCTCTCCACACAGGCACTTATTACCTCTCAACCACTGCTGATAAATATATTCTAGTGTAGCAAATCATTATTAAATCTTGGGGAGTCCTGACAGATTCATAAAAGGTTTTACTGGATTTACTTGCAGAGAGATAAGCACAGATGACTAGCAAGCACCTTGTGATCTTGTTTTCGTGTCCCAGTCTAAAACCTAACTCTGTCACCAAGAGGGGCATTATTAGCAACCTCTGCAGCTTCAGATAGTCAGTCTTGTCATTCAGTACAACTTAAAAAAATAAATGAATGCTGTGTGTTCAGTTAGATTTAAGTTAGCCTGTAAGTATTAAATTTCCATTCGCTTCTTGTTGCTACATATCATAAAGCCATTATCTGAGAAGCTGTATGAAGCACTGTACAGTAGTTCCTTCATGACTGAGGAACATGCCCTCTAGGACAGAAAAAACCCAGCGTATCCTCAGGAAGGCATTGCCACACACGAGGGAGGAACTATATGGCTTAGCTGAGGATCAATTATAGGTACTGGAGTCCGGTATCTATGTCACCAGTTTCAATCAACCAGAGAAAGCAAACTACAGAAGCCCCTGCTATTATTACCCATGACTAGTAGATGTATCTCAATAGAGTTAATAGATCCTCAGTTCAGTTATGGTCACATATGACATTATCAGCATATCTAATAGTGCTACAGATATGAACAATCAGGTTTTTAGACAATTTTACCAAGTCAGGCATTATTACAGATGCTTTCATGAAACTAAGTGATCTCTTAGACCAACTGGAACTGATTGCAGGTTCAATTTGAATGTTTAAAGGTTATTTCAGTGCAACCCCTAAAAAAATAAGCTACAAACATTGAAAAGTTCTGGAATGATTTTACACATTTATTGAGGTGCTACACGACAGCAAAAATATTAACTGTCTGCAAAGACGACTGTGATAACCGAAAACCTATTTCACAAGGTCTTAGATGCCAAAAATTTGGTAATGACCTGAACATCACTAAATTCTGTTTCCCAATAAAAGAGGTTTGTAGGGATGATTTTGAGTCATCACTGTTTCTATACATAGCACAACATCTACCTTTTAAATTACCCCAACACTTCTGCTCTTTTTGCTTCTGCAGAAATGTGTTTTTAAGCAACTGAGAGGAACCACGGACAAGGAATTATATTTCACATCAGAAAAAGGACAAGGAATAAACAAACTGAACACCTACTAAAACCTATATTCCTTGCAGTTGAGACGTACATCTCTGCCTTGCTTCTTTTCCTTCTTGAAATGCTTCACAAAAAAAAAAAAAAAAATCCACTGACTTTCCCAAGCACATGACAAGTCCATTGTTTGGTCCCTCAGCCCAACTGACCTGCCAACTTTGCTTTCACTCAGCACCACAGTTCAGTGTTTGGTCTGGTTTCATCCTACTTTTTTCAGTTCCTTTGAGATAGACATGTTAACTAAAGCACTTAATTTCACGTTAAAATGTTTAAGTTATGTTTGTTAATGTTTAAAACAGTAATATACTGTTACAGAATCACAAAGTACACAAATCCAAGCAAACAAAGACAACCTAAACAGTGGAACTTGCATATTCAAATTAAGATTAATACTAGAACTTCTTCCAGGTACCGCTTTGTGCTTCAAGTGAGCTGTTAAGTATTGAATTTGTAGTTTCTTCAGCTATTCAAAACCACCACTACATAATACACAGCAGAGAGGTATACCCTGATTGCAACAAGGCATACATTATGTCAGCTTTGTTTTTTTTAGTTAATGAACCAACTTCTCTGGTAGTGGCCAAGATAAGAAAACAACAGCTTAAGGACAAAGCAAAACATTTTGGTACAATGGTCTCCTACCTATTGGGATGGATGAAATCTGAGAGTAGAGATCCAGCATGCGATTGCCGTCTACATCTACTAGGTAGTTCCCTCGGCTCTCTTCGTAATTGCAAAAAAAGTGTACAGCTTCTGCATTCTTAAAGGAAAAAACAATGAATGCTTTAAAAAGTAGCAGTGTGTAGGAAGGTGCAACTAACAGTTGTACAGCTAAATCTGATAGAAATCTAATGATAAGCTACAAAGACACATTATATTAATTGTATGGCAATTAACTGTAGAGCTGTTTTTATAAAGAGGGACTGTTAAAAGGGCAAGCATGCACTTTTTCTACGGAAACAAACCACAGACTTTGGGGAATTGCTCATCTTGGGAAGGCAATACGCACTCGGGCTGACATACTTTTAAGCTCAAACATACCTATGTTTTCATCGGCCACTTCGTAACAACTCAAAAGGCATATATAGTGTTTAAAGAAAAATCACTGATCCTACCAAAATATTTTTGCAGTATTCAAAACATACTAAAAAAGATTTTATTCAAATGTACCTATATACCATACATAATATACTCAGCATGCAAACCCAGAGTCAGTGTTGCACCTTCTTTTTTTGGTATGGAAATAAACATATAAAACAGCATTATAAACAAGTTCTGAAATCACAGTATTAACACTCCCCAAACTCAGAAAACTTGACAAATTACCTGAATTCCATTCAGCTGCTTCATTAACTCCTGTAGAAAAACAAACATCAAAGAGTCTCAGGTATGTAATTACCAAATACTGAAGAAGACTATATGTTTATTTTTTATGACCACACAAATCATATGCAGAACTTGCAGTCCTATGTGCTTACCAGGCAACTCTACTTGCCACGTGAACTTTCATAGTGCATCTTGCAACCATGACAGTCAAAACTATGAACTGTGGCACGCAGAGCTGCATGGGCTGCATACACATTTAACTGTAAATCTCCAAAAAGGGAAAGCTGCCTCTTCTACATTGATCAACTGAACTGAGAAAACAAGAGAGAAATCAGAAAATAAGAGAAGCTAGAGACACACAGAAAGGATACTGGCACATTGGTTCTAGAAAGCCAGATCCTTTTTTTTTAAAAAGCAAACAACCAAACCACCACACATACAAATATTGACTCTGCCAGAGTAAAACAATGACCAGCAAATTGAAACACTTGTTTCAATTCAAAACCAAAGCATTATATTTCACATCAGAAAAAGCCATAGCAGGAGTATAAGTAACCAAGTCTGATGAGATGTTTCCTCAAACTGATGCTCTTTTGCTTTCAATTACTTCATACAGGAAGTTGGCAGTTGAGATTCAGATCTCTCTCTGAGAGAGGCATTGCATTCATCAGCTTTTCATTCTCAGCATCTTGATAAACATGGGCCTAGGCTGTTGTGAAATAATGTTTATTCGTATCAGATTTAAGGTTTGCAATGAAATTTGTTTTCTAGCAAGTTAAATACAGCTAAAGAAAAAAAAGCAAAAACAACAAGCCATTATGCTTTGGGAACTTACTCTAGATCGTGGTCCAGGAACTTCTGTCTTCATTAGAGGTCCATCATAATCAAAATCCACATCAATTTTAGCTGCAGCTTGACTGATATATCTGTGTCCTGTAAGAAATAATGAAAACCTGAGTATAGACCATATTTTCTGTGCTCTCCTCTGAGAATAAATACCCATACCTTACCTGCCTGAGAACACTTGATGGATGAGACCAATTACATTGTACTGTCTCAAGTGAACTAAATATCTCATCTTTGACAAGTGTTAAAATAAAACTAATACTAGTGAGGTGCCTTTAAAAAAAAATTCAAGTGAAATGAGAAGGCAACCCTAGAGAAACAGAGGCAAATCCTACTGTAAAGCACAGGAGGACTAAGAGCACATCTATTTCCATCTCTGTTGAGTCTGTCCATTATGCCTTGAACAAGCCTTTGCCACTTCTATGCAGAGCTGGTTTCGTTCGCTATCAGTAAGGACAGAAAAACCTGATTGAGCCCACAGGTAAAGAACACTGTGATGTTCTGCAATAGCTCAAAGAACACTGTTCGGGAAAGATTTGTATCTCAAAGGTAAATGGCTGTGTTTAAAATAAATTCAAAATCTCATGTGAATCCAGCATCTTGCACTGCAGCTCTGAAATCTGGGTCAAAAATAGTGACAGCTTTTCCTCTGATCCTGCCTCTCACCTTGCTGTTCTTTACCCAACATCTTAATGAACTCAACATCTTAATGAAACCAAATGCAAAAATCTCCTGTGCTTCATCAGTAACAGGCTCTGCTCCCATTCTGAAACAACTGTTTCAAAATATAGGATTTAGGCACAGTTGATATGACAGAGGCAGTTCTGGCAAGCATAGATTCCAAATATATATATATATTTTCCCTTAAGGGGATTATGGGATAATATGAGAATTGTACATTTGCAACAAAGGAAGTACAGACTCAAGACCAATATCAAGGTGAACAGCAAGAGCTTGCTCTGTACGCTGTTAAGTGCTGACCTAAACTAACGTTCTTAACAATTACATTTTTGTCATGAAGCACCTGCAAGCCTTTACCTAGCATGATATCATCAACAAATTAATCTTAATAAGCTTAATTTAGGGGTGTCACACTTGTACCGGATCAACATCTGAAAGATGAAGGCTTGTTTTAGTCGGTGACAGGCATGTTAAGTTGGTACAATCTGGAAAACCCAAAATGAAGATCCCTAGCTCCCCCTCTCATCAGCGGAAAGCCGAGCTGCAGTTCAGAGTGCCTTGCTCACCACCGAAGTCAGGCGGTACCAGCTCTTGCCTGGGGTGATTTAGAGCAGCACAGTCTGAAGCTACTGTTCACCAGCATCGCGCTGCACTGGGGCAGCACTGCCAGCTGCTAAAAAGATACAAGGCACCCCAATTCGGCAGAGGTCCAGAAAGGGAGATGCATACATAGGCAGGCCAGCACCCACGCACACGAAAAGCACCAAAGTGCAGCACTGCAGCCGGGAATCCCAGGCAGCTCCAGCCCCTTTGTGCTTCCATCCATAACCACCTCTCACTGCCAGAGTTTTGCTGCAGAAACATACTAAAATCGTTTCTTTGTTTGGAAACAACAGTTGTCAAATAAAATAAATATTTATCAAGGAAAGTAGAAGGTATACTATGCTACTGCTTGGCAGTGTTTTGAACACAGCAACTTGGCCAAAATTTCCAACAGTGATTAGAGACGTTTGCTTCAGTTTGTGTCAGCCCAAGTTGAGATGTCTCAAGCAAGCTTGATTTTAAGAGACTATCTGAAAAATCACAGCCCTTTGAAAGCATCTCTGAGCACCTAAATTCACTGCTCATTTGGGGAAAACTTAAGTCTACAAAGATGGTTATTCTCAGCTTTAATTCCAAGTGTTACATCTGAGATGTGTCAGTGCCTCTCTGCAAAGCTATTAATAGGTTTCATTACAGCAATGCCACTTCTGTTTAGCATTTATGTAAATTGGGGACCGCATGACAACTGCTCCACTGGGAAAAAAAAAAAAAAAAAAAAGCTACTGCATATAAAAGATCACAAGCTACACAATTCACAGCCAATGAAGCTGCAGATTCAGTAGACATGCTATGAAGTCTAAAAGGGGAAAAGAGACCAAACTAATCCTTTTGGAGATCGGCAAATGAGTGGCAAACATTTCTCCTTCTCCCGTGTTCTCTTCTCTCCCTCCCCCGAGGCTCTGGGAGCTACTTGGTATGATAAAGGAGAATGCATCAAGAGAGGCACAGACTATACAGGACATTTTGGTAGTCAGCAGTAACAGGAAAGATATGGAAACCCAGCAGTACACTTGGAATCGTTTGACATAGCTGCAAATTTAAGACAGGTGAACTACAACCTGCATGCACAGTCCTCCTCATCCTCCTTCTCCTCCCCAGCCCTGCCTGGTGCTTTGCTGCCAGAGACCCTGTGCCGCCACATCCCCCCCGTCCATCTCCCACCCAGAGCAGTAGCCTATGCAGGCACACTGCCTTCCTTAGTCTTTTTAACCAAGTTCTCATAAAAATGCACTTGTTTGGACAGTGATTAGAGATTTCCTCTTCTGTTAACAATCAAGCCACTCCTGCAAACATGCAAGATGCTTGACTGCCAGGCTCTAAAACTGAGAGCAACAGCCAAAGATTTCCTGGCCATCACCTGTGAGGTGTGGGTAACATTTTCCCTCTTCCACTTCCCTACAATATTTCACAGATTTTCCTTTAACAGATGAGGATCCTAAATTAAACACAAAATTAATTATTTCTCTAAGAAGGTTCTGTTGTGGATATCGCAAAGGGCACAGTCTCCCTTACGAAAACACACATATTTACAGAGCTCTAAAACAGGGAATTCATTTGGAGAGTATTTTACTGTTATCCTAACTTGTTTAACACCACAAGTCAAGAGGAGGTTGCTTCCATCAGCCAGGCTGTGTAACAAAGACCAAAACGGGTCAGCCTGCTTTGTAGATGATCATCATCTTTTTTGCTACTGTTTATGCCACAGCCTCTTTGCACAGGTATGTTGAACTGGGTATTTGCTAAGGGCACATACGAGCCATTAAAAACGATCAGTACTTTGCTGTGCAGTGCTACACTAATTCACGCTGTTACAGTCCTGTCTATCAACAGACAGGTCTTCATATATAGCAAAGATTGGTCAAGTGAAACTAAAACATATAGGTCTTCCTGGAAGAACAGTTGCTTCAAAGATAATTTTTATCAAATTAATAATGTTGGTCAATTTGTCAGACATTATTTTTTAAACAACAGCTTCAAAAGCAGCTTATCCAAACCCCAATCATTTTCAGTAAGTCTGAAAACCAGAACTATCTAAAAAATGAGCAACACAAGTGACAGGTTTCCCTTCATTTGCTTGTTATCTCCTAAAGCGTGCTACATGTCATCATGCTGTACAAGCAAGTGATTTCTAGGCTGATTCACTGATACAAATTTAATTTTATATACTCGTTTTCAGGAGCCCACAGAGTATCTCATTTTGTTAACACCAGTATAATGGCAGCTATATCAATCTATTGGTCCTTACACTCGCGTGATACCTGTGAATATTGAAATATTAAGATCAATTCAAGCAATTAGAGCCATTGCTCAATAGATATAACCAAACAAAAGGGAAACCATTGTAACTTAGAAAATAATTAGTTGTAAGATAAGAAGCTCTGGAACAATCTCATTTTGAACAGCTCGGCCTTGGAAGAACAGATGCGCAAAGATAAGAAAGTTACAAGGTGATCACAAAACCAGCCTTGAGGGATAAGGTATAGGCGATACCAGGGCTCTGTCCGAAGACCTCAGAGGACCACCCCGAGGTGCCAACAAACATGGGCAAAAGACATTAGCATATGCTAACAAGTTCCCGGAAAATCCATGAATGTGATAAACACTACTCAGAAATATACTGAATAGGTATATTAACATAGTATAAATACTTGCTAGTTTTGTCTTTTGGGCGTGCACATTAGGTAGAGTTATCCCCCGTGCACCCAGCGCTGCAAAAAAGAATGCCTGCTTTCTAAAACTTAAAAATAAGTCTTAGAGAGTGAATTATTTTGCCGCTTTCCGGTAACACGCCAAAGAGTTGTTCCACCTCCTAGCGAGGGCAAATACTATGGTTTGAATTTGAAGGAACAGCTTGCCGTAAATAAAATGAAAATTCCCTGTGCTACCAGGTCAAAGGATTTTGAAAAGTGTTTTTTTTTTTTCCCCTTAGGTAGAGATTGAAGAATACTGGCTATAACAAAAGCCTCAAAAACCCCAAAACCTCAACATACTAACAGAGCCTTTGATAGCAAAAGCTAAAACCAAAGGAGAGTTAATCCTCAAACTTTTAATGAGGCTCTTCTCTCTTTGAGAGTATAACAAACTATTGGCACAAACTCACACAATTTCTAGCAAGGTCAACAGATTTATTCCAAATAGCCCACTTCGCTACTCATCAGATACGCATACTTGTTCACAGAGCTGGTTAAACATAAACAAAACAATCCAAATTTTAAGGACACAAAAGCATGGTTCTCCTGCTTCCCCCCTTTTAACTTTTGATTTTTCTTCCCCTACTCTTACTCAAGTAAACTGGGACTCTGATCAGAAATTTTAATACTCTAAATGGTCAGCTCCTGCAAAAAGCTCAGTCTCTGTGTGTATTGGCGCACTCAGGTTGTGCAAGTCACCAGCACTCACACGTAAAGAGCTCTCCTCACCTAACAGCAGCTTAACAGAAAGAAAACAAACTGTCTTACTGCCACATGGCTGAAGACTTTCGAAGCCTAATGCTACCTCAGTGCTCAGGGACCTGTTCAAATGCTTGTGAAAATGAAAGGAAAGGAAGCACAGCAGTTTTTACTAGCTAAAGACTCCTGCTCAGCTTAACACTGCAGAGTTTAACGAACAGAGAGGTATTGCCGCAGCACTGCTCCCCTTCAGATGGCCCATTTCATTACAGTCTCACAGGCTGCCCTTATCGTAGAGGCAAAAAACTTGGAGCTCAGATTGCTCTCAAAAAGGCACAGACCTCAGAGCCCTGGTGAAAGACGGTCTGGCCACTCCCTGCATGAAGGCTCATCAGCTTTTTGGCATCCTTCACT